TACCAGTTTAACGTTGAATATTATTTATGATTTTAATGTTCTCTGTAGCAGAGTTCTGAGAAACCAGCAGATGATCTGCATACTATCCAGAGTGATGAATATAATGTTATTATATATGTTATGGAGAGTAAAATCACACTCTTTAAAAGACATATATGGAAACACATTTTCCCACAATGTACATTGCAGTAACATGTTTTAGGAATATTTCCTACCTTAAGATTAAGTTGAACTTCTGTTAACACATCATTGTACTACTTCATAACATCATGTTAAGGTTTTTCATAACACATCGTTGTACAACATAACATCACGCTAAAGTTTTTCATAACACATCGTTGTACAACATAACATCATGTTAAGGTTTTTCATAACATCGTTGTACAACATAACATCATGTTAAGGTTTTTCATAACACATCGTTGTACAACATAACATCACGTTAGTTTTTCATAACACATCGTTGTACAACATAACATCATGTTAAGGTTTTTCATAACATCGTTGTACAACATAACATCACGTTAGTTTTTCATAACACATCGTTGTACAACATAACATCATGTTAAGGTTTTTCATAACATCGTTGTACAACATAACATCATGTTAAGGTTTTTCATAACACATCGTTGTACTACTTCATAACATCACGTTAACGTGTTTGGTTATAACTAAAATGCAACACTTATAACAAGATAGTTTGGTCTTAAAGAAAAACAACTTCCTAAGAAAATAAAATTTTCCGTATATATATATATATTAAGTAAGACGGGTCATTTTTGAAGCCGATGTAATTTAGGGAAGTTTAGCCTTTTCTCTGGACAAGTTTACTGTATATGATCATCGAATCAGTTATCATCACCCGTTGGCGCATCAGTTTAATAATAGCGGAGTCGCGACTATTGTGTGTTTGTATCTTTTGATCAATAAGTTTCGTTCAAACAAAAACGTACCGCATTTACTGAGCGTGTCTTTTGGGTTATTACCGTGGGCGAAACGTACGCGTGACGAAACGCCATTTAGGACGTTTTCGATGATTTTAATAATAACCACATAACGTAGGCTTAACAGAAATAAAAACCCTAAAGGTCTGGTCGGCATACTTGTAGGCTTAAGTAGCGAAAGTGTAAACATTTTTCACAAAATTCGTTGAGTATCGAAAATATATATTAGTGCATTCAAGTAGTACAACGATGTGTTATGAACAACTTTAATGTGATGTTATATTGTACAACGATGTGTTATGAAAAACTAACGTGACGTTATGAATTAGTACAACGATGTGTTATGAAAAACTTTAACGTGACGTTATGAATTAGTATGTGTTGTGAAAAACTTTAATGTGATGTTATATTGTACAACGATGTGTTATGAAAAACTAACGTGACGTTATGAATTAGTACAACGATGTGTTATGAAAAACTTTAACGTGATGTTATGCAGTCAACAACGATGTTATGAAAAACTAACGATGTTATGTAGTTAACAACGATGTGTTATGAAAAACTAACGATGTTATGTAGTCAACAACGATGTGTTATGAAAAACTTTAACGTGGTGTTATGCAGTCACCAACGATGTGTTATGAAAAACTTTAACGTGATGTTATGTAGTCAACAACGATGTGTTATGTAGTCAACAACGTATAGTTTTAGAACTAGATTTTATTCCTTCCTCGCAGCATATTATTTCTTCCTTCGCCTCTCTCTCTGTTTATTCGTTCTCTCTCACATATCCTGGTCTTTTTGCTTTTCTTTGAACTCTTGTCTTTTATGTATCTTTCTCAAACCCATGCCGAACAAGTCTCTTTCTCTCTGACCTTGTAAGTTTCATAATCATAGGGGGCCCTGTTGTTTCAATACCACTGAAGAAGAAGGGGGCCGCTCGCTCTAATAATTTCCTAACTTTAGTGCTTGTAATATCTTAATCCCTTAGGGAGTGACCAAAGGCCAGCCGCGATGCCCTTTATACCTAACTTCAT